ATTTAACGATGTTATACAAATTTCTAGTTCTTCAAAGTCATTATTACAGCCTATTTAGGATAATAATGGAATGTAGGTTAGTAATTAGTCACCTATGACAATTGAACTCATAGTCATATTAGGTATGTTATCAAGGTCAAACAGATATATTTTAGATAGATCATCTTCAGACACTTCAGAGATCTACAGAATATGGCATTTAAGATGTTTTAATAACATAGGTTTTTTTCTTTATGACACTGAGACATGTCTGCTCCTGGCAGCACCAATCTACTTCAGAGAAGATGATGGATATCAAAGAAACTCCATATGGAGTTTACTTCTTTGTGGCAAAATTTACCCACTGGGCAAGAAAATTTCCTTGCCTTGACTGCTGACAGTATGCTGTCCAAAATGGACAAGCAGGACACAAAAGAAAGGACTGCCAAACTTTGCCAACACAGGGTAGGACAACCCTTCAGAAAATCCTGCTTCACAGATAAGACTGTCAGACATTCTAGGCCGGTAGGCTGAAGATGGATGCCCCAACGTTGCAAAGGAAACTTGGGTGACTCTCCGGATAGCCAGCTGTTTCTGTTATTTTTCACATTTTTTGGAAGTCACTTGCTTGCACTTCCTGATTACTCAGGAATATTATATCCTTCTCAGGTCTCTAATGGAGTTGAAGACTTTATAGTTATAGTTTTTTTTTGTTACCAGATTCAGAAAAGAAATTCACTAAAGAGGTGTAAAATGTATAAGGTTGAGAGACATTAAAAGATAATTTTGGTAGCCGGGCGGTGGTGGCGCACGCCTTTAATCCCAGCACTCGGGAGGCAGAGCCAGGCAGATCGCTGTGAGTTCGAGGCCAACCTGGGCTACCAAGTGAGTTCCAGGAAAGGCGCAAAGCTACACAGAGAAACCCTGTCTCGAAAAACCAAAAAAAAAAAAAAAAAAGATAATTTTGGTAATGCAAGTTAGACTAGAAAGTGAATTAGGTACAACCTTTTGGATTCACCAAGATAGGATAGATAATAGAGTATTTTCTCTGAATTTGTCAAATGTTTATGGACTAGACATTATGGATGTAATTATTGCCTGTATATATTGTATGCAGTTATTGTACTTATTGTATATAGTTTTTCTTATATTATTTATAACTTTTTTATTTAGACAAAAAAGGGGAAATGTGGTAATACTTTGTTTGTGCTCTAACAAATAAAGCTTGCCTGGAGATCAGAGTGTGGAGCTGGCCACTAGAGGCCAAGCAGTGGTGGCACACACCTTAATCTCAGCATTTGGGATCACATGCCTTTAATCCCAGCACTTGGGAGAAAGAAACAGGAAGTGATATGGCTGGAAAGAGAGAGGAAGTGATAAGGCGGGGTAGAGACAGGAGCTCTGCCTTTTCAGTCTGAGGATTCCTAGAGGTAAGAAGTTTCACAGTTGCTGGCTGCACTGTTTCTCTGGTCTTTCAGTTTTCGCCCTGATGTCTGACTCCAGGTTTTTATTATTAAGACCAATTAGAATTCACACCACAGGCACCTGGATTTGAACCAGGGACCTCTTGAACTGCAGTCAAATGCTTTACCCCTGAGCTATATTCCCAAGCGTTTGATAGCTTCTTGTAAAACCGCTTCATGATCACTGACCTCTCCAGCTGTGCTATGGCTGGGTTGTCTTCTGGGGACTATCCAAGCCGTTCTTCTGCCCACACCCCTGCAAGGCTCAGATCTGCTCCCTTGCCTGGGTGTTCCCACCCACTCACACCCAAGCACCCCTCTCCAAGAAGCTTCCTCTCTTTCCTCACTGTTCCACTATTGGATACGAAAGCTCTCTGGTCATGCTTTCTACTTCCTTTGCGTCTTTTCCCACGCCCCACTTGTTTTGGTTTTCTTTACCAGCGGCAAAGGCCTAGGCCATAGAGGAGGCTGTTGCAGGGCCTGACCAATGCCAGGAGAGGCATCTGGCCCACTATGTTGCAGTCTCATAATAGGTCAAAGTGGTGTATGCAAGAGTAGGGCCAGATGTTAGCAGAATTGGAGAGCCTAGGGTGGGCATGGAGACTGCTTGCTTAGGGCCTTGAAGAGTGCCTACTTTAGTAAATGTTCTACTATTAAGCTGAGCTTGAGACACACCTCCAATCCCAGCACTTGGGAGGTAGAAGTGGGAGGATCGGGAGTTCAAGGTCATCCTTGGAGTCTTGGTTGGTTGGTGTTGTCAATTTGACACAAACTAGAGTAACTGGGAAGAATCCCAACTGAGAAACCCTCCCTAAGATTGGCCTGTAGGCAAACGTGTGGGAAATGTTCTTGACTGATGATTGATACGGGAGGGCCCCGCCCACTGTGGGTGGTGGTGGTGCAAATCAAATGATCCTGGGATGTATCAGAAAGCAAACTGAGCAAGCCAGTAAGAAGCATTTCTTCATGGCCTCTCATTCCGTGCCTGCTTTCAGGCTCCTGCCTTGACTTCCCTCAGTGGACTATAACCCAGGATATGTAAGCCAAATCAACCACTTGCTCCCGAAGTTGGTTTTGTTCAGTGTTCTATCACAGCAATAGAAACCTAACTACAACTCTTGGCTACCGAGGGAGTTGGAGGCCAGCCTGAAGGGCATGATAAAGACTGCCTCATAAAAGAACAAAGAGTCGGGAGGGCAGTGAGAGGGCTCAGCAGGTAAAAGCACTTGCCCCATGCACAGTAAGAGCAGCTGCTGCTCCTGCAGAGGATCCAAACACCCTCAGCAGCAGGTCCACAACCACCTGTAACACCAGCTCCAGGGGATCCAGCACACGTGAGTGCATACAGAAAAAATTCTAGCTTGTTTTGTTTTGTTGAGACGGGTCTTCACTGTGTAGCTCTGGCGGTCTGGAACTCACTATGTAGACCAGGCTGGCTTCACTTACAGAGATTTGCCTGTCTGTATCTCCTCAATGGTAATGTCATGCCTGACTAACTTTTTTTTTTTTTTCTTTAAAGAAAATTCCTAAAAGGTAACACCAGAAGAAGGTAGAGTTCTTGCTGAAGATGGGTGCATGATTGGATGGGACTTGGGAGTCAGTGAAGGGTGAAGAGCTTGATTAGATGCTGGTAATGAGCAGGTTTCTAGGGTGATTCCTGCTACACTGACGTGGCAGAGTTCTTTGCCAAGGCTGATTTTACAGTGGCATGCACAGATGGGCCTGTCTGTAGTTAGGGTCCCTGGGAAAGCTGGGACTGATGTTCTGCTCTGAGAGGTAAGGATCTCTGGTCAGCTGTTGCTTCCAACAATTATCTTCGTACTGCCTCTTAAAACACCTGACTCACTGACCGCTCTGATAGTGCAGTGGGGCTGTACATCTCTCTCGAGATCAGCTGGCATAGTGTAATGCTTTGTCATGAGAGTGCAGTGGGGCTGTACATCTCTCTCGAGATCAGCTGGCATAGTGTAATGCTTTGTCATGAGAGTGCAGTGGGGCTGTACATCTCTCTCTAGATCAGCTGGCATAGTGTGATGCTTTGTCATGAGAGTGCAGTGGGGCTGTACATCTCTCTCTAGATCAGCTGACATAGTGTAATGCTTTGTCATGAGAGTGCAGTGGCCCCAGAGAAGGAAGAATCCATGTTCCTGATGGCAGTGTGCTTTCTTGGCAGGTTCCTGCAGCAGTGGCGCTGGTGGCCAGGGACTGGACCAGATTGCAAGGATCGAGGAATGCTTACGCAAAGCAAAGCGGGAGAACAGACCAGAAACACACTGCTAAGACTGCCGGTGAGCCTCATCAGCGAGGGTGCCCAAGGCCCCCAACTATTAAACACACTTCTAAGCCGGTGAGCCCTTTGTATACCCAAGGTGCCCGATTATTGTTTGGGGCTTCCTTTTATGGGGTTCAAGAGAAGGAGGAGCTGGCTGTGGTGGTGCAGGCCTTTAATCTCACACTATGGCGGCAGAGGCAGGTGGATCTCTGTGACTTGGAGGCCAGCCTGGTCTGTATAGGGGGTTCCAGGTCAGCCAGGGCTACATACTGAGACCTTGTCTCACAAAGAAGAGAGGAGTTTGTTGCTAGGGCTTTAGTTTGGTGGTTCTCTGTTTTGACTGACAGGCTTGGATGACTTAAGCCCGTGCTTACTATATATGCTCCATCCTATAATACATCTAATTTTAACCATATACACACCCACTATAAATAGGCATAAGATGGCCGAGCGGTGGTGGCGCACGCCTTTAATCCCAGCACTCGGGAGGCAGAGCCAGGCGGATCTCTGTGAGTTCGAGGCCAGCTGGTCTCCAAAGCGAGTTCCAGGAAAGGCGCAAAGCTACACAGAGAAACCCTGTCTCGAAAAACCAAAAAAAAAAAAAAAAAAAAAAAAAAAAAAAAAAAAATAGGCATAAGATGATAAATCGGGGATTTTCCCTAGAAGTCTGCCTTATTGCACGTGCACCTAAACCCTGGAGTTCCCAGAAGTGTAATAGAAGTGAGGCATTATGGAGGAGTGGTTAGGTTTTTTGTTGTTGGTTGGTTGGTTTGTCATTTGACACAAACTAGAGTCACCTGGGAGGAGGGAACTTCAATTGAGAAAATGCCTCCATCAATGGAACCAGGCAAGCCGGTGGGGCATTTTCTTGCTTGATGGCCCCACAGCGGGGAGGGCCATCCTGGCACAGGTGCTTCTGTGTTAACTGAGAATCGGGTGTGGTGGCCCACGCCTTTAATCCTAGCAGAGGCAGGCAGACCTTTGTGAGTTCTCCGCCAGCCTGATCTACGTAGTTCCAGGTCAGCCAAAGTTATACAGTTAGTCCACATCTAAGGAAAGAAGGAAAGAAAGGGAGGGAGAGAGAGAGAGAGAGAGAGAGAGAGAGAGAGAGAGAGAGAGAGAGAGAGAGAGGAGAGGGGGGAGAGGGGGAGGAGAGGGGGGAGAGGGGGGGAGGAGAGAGGAGGGAGGAGAGGGGGGGGGAGAGGGGGAGAGGGGGGAGGAGAGGGGAGGGAGGAGGAGAGGGGAGGAAAGGGACAACTAAGCAAGCTAAGGAAAGTAAGCGGTAAGCAGCACTCCTCCATACCTCTGCTTCAGTCCCTGCTCTGATTTCCCTTCGTGATGGACTTGAAGTTGTAAGGTGAAATAAGCCCTTTCCTCCCTAACTTGCCTTTGGTCACGGTCTTTATGAAAGCAGTAGAAAGCAAACTACATTGCAAAGGAGAGTAATGTAAATAAATAGAGCAGGGGATTATGCTTCTTCATAGCTGGGCCTGTCTAAAGCAGGCATACTGCAGTTCTATGTGGATGGAGGTTGTGGGTTGCAAACAGATTCTGAGAGGGGTGTGTGCAGAGTCCCAGGTTGCTAAACTCTTCCCATGTTTGCCTGCCTCAGCAGGTAGCAAATGCTGCTCCTGCCTCCTGGAGTACTTGGGACCAGCAGCACCCAGCATCATGCACCAGCTTGGGGCACCTCCCACACGGGTGGCTTCCTCTGACTGTCCTTACGCTGCTTTCAGGTACGATTGCTGTTTTTATGGTATACAGCTGAGCAAGACTGTTACTGACAATTCACCCCAGCACCCTCTTGAACTTTGAGAGCTAGCCAGCAGGAAGGAAGCTGCCGATTCAGTTCTCCAGCTTGATTTTTCTGTGTCCTGCAACCGAAGTGTTTGGCATTGGCACTGGTAAAGTGCCAAGCTCTGACAGAAAATCCCCACACCCATGATTCCATAAGCAGTGCACTGAGTCATCATAAAACGGGTGAGGAGTGAGGGGGCTCAGCAGGTAAAAGCCTTGAGTGCCTGGACCTGAGTTCCACCCTCAGAATCCACAGTAGTTGAGACCTGAATCCCCAGTGTTTCCTCTTTCTTTCAGACACCTGCTGTGACATGCACACCTGCACACATATTATGCACATAAGGGTAAGAAAGTAAATAATTTAAGAAACTGTAGCTGGCTGTGGTGGCACACGCCTTCAATCCCAGCACTCAGGAAGCAGAGGCAGGCTGATTTCTGAGTTCGAGGTTAGCCTGGTCTACAGAGTTCCAGGACAGCCCAGGGCTACTCAGAGAAACCCTGTCTCAAAAAAACAAAACAAATGTTGTTGGATGTTTTTGCTCTTTTGGGGAAACTGCCACCCAACTCCCAAATGAACCACACGCAGAGGCTTATTCTTAATTATAAATGATCAGCCTTAGCTTGGCTTGTTGCTTGCCAACTTTCCTTAAATTATCCCATCTACCTTTTGCCCCTGGGCTTTTCCAGTTTTCTTACTTCTGTAAATCTTACTCTTAACTCCATGACTTGCTGTGTAGCTGGGTGGCCGGCCCTGATGTCCTCCTCCTCCTCTGGCTAGTTTTTCTTTTTCTCCTTCTATGTATTTTCTCTGCCTGCCAGCCTTGCCTATCCTTTCTCCTGCCTTGCTATTGGTCGTTCAGTTCTTTATTAGACCACCAGATGTTTTAGACAGGCTTTTAGACAAGTAACACAGCTTCACAAAGCTAAACAAATGCAACATAAACAAAAGTGACACACCTTAAAATATTCTACAACACAAAAAATTGTAAAAAGACATGCAAGTAGAAAGGGCACTAGCTAGAAAGGAAGATGATAAGTGTGAGTGGAAGGGCAGGAGCTGGCGAAGGGGTGAATGTGATCGAAATATGTTGTATACGTGTGTGAAAATGTCATAATAAAACCATTGCTATGGAATTATATATAACTAATATAGGCCAATAATTATTAAGGGGTCCCTGGTTCAAACCCAGATGCCTCCTTTGAGTGAAATGAATCCTTCTGGAGCCATTTTAGCCCCTGGAGCTAACACGGCAGGACTGGGAAAGCTCAGAGTCCCTTTTGCACAGTTCAGCGGCTCCACCTTTACACTCCTTTGACTTTGATGGCCCTGTGGTAGTTTTAAAGTGTGTTCACAGATCTTTGATACTTCTCCCTGAAGGCTGTGAAGCTCAATTAACCTCCCTTTGAAGGCGAGCTGACTTGGTCACACCATCCTAATGAACAGGATGTAACAGAAGTATCACTTCTGAGCCTGCTCACAGCACACACTGACTCTGCTCGCTTGGATCTCTGGGGCAAGTCAGGCACATGTCATGAGGACACATAGAGCGGCTCTGTGAAAAGCCCCGTGAAGCATGTGAAGCATGAAGGGAGACCTCCTGCCAGTACCAGTGAGGCACTAAGTCCTTTCCAACAACCATGGCAGTGGGCTGGCTTGGAGGGGCCCCTCATGGGACAACTGGCTTGGAGGGACCCCACCTGGGACAGCCGGCTTGGAGGGGCTCCTCCTGGGACAGCCAGCTGGCAACTTATGGCAACCTCCTGAAGAATCCAGAAGCACTAAGGTAAGTAAGTCCTTTCCTCATTTCCAGCCAAGGGAACCCTCGGTTGTCCAAGAGGTAACCGATGTTCAAAGGGCCTGCTTTGCCAGACTGTACCTCACAAAAAGCTAAAACAAAGCTTGAAATTCCAAGTGCCTCAAGAGTATGTAGAATTTGAAGGAGACATGTGGGAGGGCTCATCTTGGTCTCTACCTGAGTTACAGGAAAGAGACCTTGTATTAGTACTTTTCTCATTGCTTTGTCAAAATACATGATAGAATCAAGTCAAGGAGAGAAAAGTTTATTAGCTGACAGCTGAAGAAGTGACAGTCTACCACAGTGTGGAAAGCGGTGGCAGAAGCTCTGAGAGAGCAGGAAACACTGGGGCTCAGCGCTTTTTCGTTGTTGTTCTATGTATGTGTGTGGTATTGTGAGTGTGTGTATTCATATTCAAATATGTGTAGATACACATGGATGTGTGGAGGCCTGGAGTAGATGCCGGGCATCTTCCTCTACTTCTCTTCACCTTATGTACTGAGGCGAGGACTCTCACTAGAACCTGGAGCTTGATGATTCGGCTAGTCTGGCTGGCCAGCTTGCTCCATGATCCTGTCTTCATCTGCTGTGCCTGCTTGGTAATTACTGGTTGCTGTGGATCCGAACCCTGGTCCTCACGCTCACACAGCGTGTGTCTTACCCTCTCCCCAGCCTCCGCTTTCTCCTTTTCATTCAGTCTGGGATCCCAGCCCATGGCATGCTGCCACCCACATTTAAGTGGGGGCTTCCTACCATCAACCTAATCCAGGAGCTCCCTCAGAACTCCTGAGGTTCATGTCCTAGGTGATTCTAGAGCCCATCAAGTTGACAGCATTCCCCATCCCAGCTCCCAGCAAAGATGGCAATGAGTCCTCTAGTTTTTGCTTAGAAAGCAGCCCCTTCCCTTGGGGTTTGTCTTCTGCTTGGACTCCAAGCCAGAATAGAGTATCACTTCATGTGGAACCTGCCGTGACCTTCCAAGCTCGTGGCAAGAAGTGATGGTTTGTTGTTGTTGTTTGTGTTTTGGGACAGGGTCTTTCTGTGTAGCCCTAGCTGTCCTTGAAATCCATATGTGGGCCAAACTGGCCAGCTCACACAGACCCACCTGCCTCTGCCAGGACTATGGGTGCACACCACCACACCTGGCTGATGGTGGTTTTGGAAAGTGTTGTAGAATATTATTTTAACATATGTTACTTTTGTTTATGCTCTGGAACGTTTGTTTAATGATGCAAAGATGTGTTTGGTTAAATAAAATTCACCTGCTCAGCAACTAGCTGACCGGAAGTGGAAGGGAGGAGCCAGGTGGAGAAGGGTTTTTAAGGAGGGGCAAAGAGAGGCACGAGGGCTTTTTGGAGCAAGGAGAGGAGGTGAGCTACTTTCTATTCAGCCTCTCTGGAGAGCAGAATTCCACCTTAACCTTTGAACTCTTGCAAAGGACCCAGGTTCAGTTTCCCACATACATGTTGGCTCACAAACACTAATAACTCTAGTTCCAGGGACTCCTAAACCCTTTTCTGGCCTCTGTGGACACCACGCACCCACTTGGTGTACATACATGCATATAAACATTCATACACATAAAAGAAAAATACATTTTTAAAAATAAAAATCTACAAGGTAAGCTGGAGCACACGCATAAGTAAAAATAAACAACTTTTGAAAATCAAATGTTCTGTACCGTCATCATCATATATCTCTTTTCATAACTCATCCTGTAAAGCTGAGACATTATTAACCAGTAACTCGCCATTCTCCCCCTTCCCCGCCCCTCAAAGCCACTGTTCTACTTTCTCATCATTTTAATGGCTTTTCTTCATATAAATAGAACCGTACAGTTTGTGTGTGCACTGTACACCTTTCGATTCTTCAGTTATTTGGGGGTGTGTGCCAGCCACAACAGACATGTGGAAGCTGCAGGGCAACTTAATGGGAGTCAGTTCTCTCCTTCTACCATCCAGGGATTGAACTCAGGTCATCAGGCTTAGCAGCAAGCACCTTTACCCACTGAGCCATCTCATTGGCCCAAGCCTAGCTTTTATTTTGCTTTATTTTTTTTTCTTAAGGTGGGTGCTGAGGTTTGAACTCAGGTCCCAGTGCTTGCGCATCGTACCAACTGGGGAGTCTTCCCAGTACCCGCATTAGTCATTACGTGACTAGATTTTTTTCAGTTAGCATAATGCTCCTGCTGTGGCATATATCTGAATGTCTGTTGTGTAATGTTTTGTTTGTGTTCTGAAAAATCTTGCCTGGAAATCAGAGGGCGAAGCTAGCCGCTAGGTAACCATAGAGGCCAGGCAGTGGTAGCACAACCTGTAATCCCAGCACTTGGGAGAAGAAAGCAGGAAGGTCAGGAGTTCAAGGCCACCCTGGGCTACATGAAATTAAATCAGTCTAAAAGAGAAACAGAGCCTGGCAATGGTGTACGCCTTTAATCCCAGCACAATCAGGAGGTGGAGACAGGATCTCGGGGCCCCCATTCAGTCTAAGTATTCATAGAGGTAAGAAGTCTCTAATGACTGCTGTTTTCTGCTTCTCTGATCTTTCAGCTTTCACCCTAGATATCTGACTCTGGGTTTTTATTAAGACTAATTAGGATCATGCTTCAAATGTCCTTTTTATTGTTACTTGTTTTGGTTTTGTTTTGAGACAGGGTCTTCTGTACATCCCTTGCTGGCCTGGAACTCCCCATATAGATCAGGCTGGCCTTGAACTAGCAGACATCTACCTACCTCTGCCTCCTGAGTACTGGAATTAAAGGCGTGCAGCACCATGTGTCTTAGTTGGGTTCCTAGTGCTATGATGAACCAGTGTGGTCAAAAGCAACTGGAGGAGGAAAGGGCTTATTTCACTCGCTTCCACACAACAGTTTATCATCAGTAGTAGTTAGGGAAGGAACTCAGACAGGAACTTTTGTTTATGGAGGCAGGAGCTAATGCAGAGGCCACCAAGGAGTTGCTTACAGTTTCAGAGGGCAAGTCCCTGACCCTTCAGGGTGAGGAACACGGCAGCAAGACAGGCAGGCAAGATGCTGGAGCAGTAGCTAAGAGCTTACGTTGTGTCTGTGTCTGTGTCTGTCTGTGTGTCTGTGTGTGTGTGTGTCTGTGTGAGATAGGGTCTCACTTTATAGCTGTGGCTGTCCTGAAACTCGATGTGTAGCCCATGCTAGTCTCAAACTCTGAACTCAGAGATTCTCCTGCCTCTGCCACTTATGGGATTAAAAGCATGCTAAGAGCTTACACATAATCCAAAAGTTGGAGGCAGAGAGAGAGACGAGGCCTGGTGTGGGCTTTTGAAACCTCAAAGCCTGCCCCCAGTAATACACCACCTCCAACAAGGCTACACCTCCTAATCCTTCCTAAACAGTTCACCAACTGGGAACCAAGCATTCAAATATATGAGCCTATGGAGGCCATTCTCATTCAAACCACCATACCCAGTACCTTCTTTGGTACACTTGAATTAGTCTGTCAAATATATATGCACACTACATTTCGTTTGCCCTTTTATCCCTTGCAGCCCGTGTTGCTTCTGTATTTCAGCTATTAGGAATAACACCACCATAAATCTAACTTGGATTTCCTGTCCTCTCTTCCTAACCCGCAAGGCCAAGGGGTCTTTGCGCTTGAGCTTTGTGTGCAGATCAACTAGGAGAAACATCAAGATCATTGATGTTTTTGACAGCAATGTGGGGAAAGAAGAGAGCTTGCAAGGGTTATGGGATTAAACCCTCTGCAGGGGAGGCAGACTGTCAAGGGGCCAGGTCCAGTCCAGCCCTGGTCATCATCACAGGGTAGCTGCTCTAATTTCTATTCTCTCCAGCCAGGTCTTTGAAGTAAACATGGCTAGATGAGTGGTTTTTGGTTTTCCAGTTTCAGCCTGATAACCGCTCCCTCTGGTGGTCACCTATTTATTGATTCTGTTCCTTCAGCTCTTCAGAATTTCCCTCGTTTCCCCACTATCGACACTTTTTTCATCCCAAATAGACAAATATGACTGCATATGCAAAAGAGTGACCCACACCTGTGATAGGAGGGGGTAAGGGGGCACCTGGACTTGAACCAGGGACCTCTTGATCTGCAGTCAAATGCTCTACCACTGAGCTATACCCCCTTCTGGTAGCAAGCAGTCTCACTAATCCCATTTACTTTCAGTTTCATGTTATGGTCACTGTTTACAAAGACCGCCATTAGAGCCGGACGGTGGTGGCTCACGCCTTTAATCACAGCACTCGGGAGGCAGAGCCAGACAGATCTCTGAGTTCGCCAGCCTGGTCTACAGAGTGAGATCCAGGACAGGCACCAAAAACTACACAGAGAAACCTTGTCTCGAAAAATCGAAGGAAAAAAAAAAGGTTAAACTCTTCTTCCTAGAGAAGATTTGAGATTGAATTGACCCTTAGAGAAAGGCAAGAAATCCCAAGGATTGATAGCCATCCCCAGGAATGAGGAAAGGGAGGGAGAAAAGGAACCGAGCCTCCTCCTGGATCTCACACTTCTGCTCTTGAGAAATGTGAGATTAAACTTTTACTATTGAGACCACCTAGTTTGTGGTATTTTGCTCTGGCAACCTTAGGACACTTGGTCCCAAGATGGGGGTTCCCTGGGCAGAGCCTTGGTCTGCAGAGAACAGTGAAGTGGTCCTGTGTCTCCACCGGCGTCTCCAGCTTCACTGACCTGCTCAAGATGTGCAGGGCCCTGGGGTGGCATCCTGTTAGACCAGAAAATAGTTTTCACTGGAGCCCGACTCCCCAGATAGGTAAGCTAAGTAAGAGGCACTAAGGAAAGAATTCAACTCGGATTGGAGGAACACATACGGCATCAACAGCATGTGATGCTAAGAGATACCTAGGCAGGCAGGAGTGCTCACACACACCGTGCAAAACCCAGTCCTTCTATCCGAAGGCAGGGAGTGTGAGCCGCTTCCTGCCAGCACACCCGCGGACAGAGGGAAGGAAGCCGCAGCACTCTGTGGTGGTGGAATGTGTA